CTTCCCCCCCCCCCCCACCCTCCACAACATAATCACAATTGAGGAAACAAACGAAGCCAACTAATTCTGTATCACTTTTATTGCTTATAGTATATAAGATAGATTGAATAAAATTCCTCCAATATTGACAATTTATTTGGTATATGGCTAAGAATGAACTGGGCAAATGACAGCTCCTTTGTGATTTAAAAAATAGCTCAAAAGAACATAAGCCTTGCGACTTGGAATATCTACAGGTGTAAACTATTGGTGCAGGTAGATCAACCCCACAAAGTTTGAAGGATGAAATTTAGAGAAACGTTTGAATATCGAATTTTCTGAACTTCAAAGAACACCTTTAAATAAAGACTGTAGATAGCTAACCCAAAACTTCCATTTTAGTGGTGATTAGACACTTTTAGAACATTAACCATTGAAAGTGTTAAAAATGCGCATTAGAAGCCATTTAGGTAGCGCCATTGAGTTTAATCGGAAAGTCAAGTCAATGTCTTACCTAATTTTTAATTGTCAGGTTGTTCATATTTAAACTGCATTCTAGTACAATCTCACACGTATTTGTGTGTGAGTGATTGCGACTTGTCTCACCATACTCCCGAAACCACCCAAATAATGCGGTCTTGCTTTTTGAATACGACCCCAGGCCCCTTCCTAGACCGCATTTGTCTAAAACTCCACTTCCCTCACTCACTTTGGTATCCTGACTAAATTCTCATGCAGGGCTCCCGCGGTAACGACTCCGAACCACCCCCTCCCCACTTCCCACTTCCCACTTCCACCCACCTATCAGTCATATACCTCATTTTTCTTTCCCTCCCCACTAGTAAGAATATTTGAACAGTTTTAATAACCAGCCTTAATCGCAGTTTTGTGAAAAAAAGAGCTTAATTGTGTTAATCAACTGGCATCAAGTAGCGGAAAGTTGGGAGGAGAAAAATTGGAAGAAATCCAAAAGTCAATGAGGGAGCATCATCAAAACATCAAAGAGCCATACTTCTTTCCATTTTTGGACCTAGACTAGCAACTTATGCTAAATGCAGAGTTAATCTGCCCGTGCAAGTTTCCTTTTTCTGCAATTGGACTGCAGTTTTATGCAGGTCTATGTTATTCAATGCCTAATGGCCGAACTATTGGACAAAGGAGTGTGGTCATGTAGCTTCACCTCATTTTTCCGTCAAATGAGATGAAATTGTTAAGTGAGTAGAATTTTAAGCTACCTAAAGTCGTAATTCCGAGAAAAACGAAAGTTGGTATTGTTTGCCTATATGATAGCAATCAATAACCAGCTATACAGTGTAATTAAGAATTCAGATGTCGGTGTTCACGTTTTTATATATATATACAGAGAAGAGAGCCAAAGAAGTTACCTTTTGGGCAATGAGGGAGTTAAAAGAGGAATTGGGAGGGGGGTGGGGTGGGGTGCTTTGAGGAGTGAAAGAGAACTTTTGTGATGAATTCGCTTTGATGGGTGGTGGAATTAAAAGAAAGACAACTGACAGAAAGTGAAGTAGATACTTTGACCAGTGTTTGTGGTCGCGTGGACCCGCGGTCGTCGCATATGATAGGCGTCGCAAAAATAACGCCGGGGACACTGGCACACGAAGATACCACTGACCAATAGACCCTCCGCATTCGGTACCTCATAAAAACATGGTGTGGCCAGGGTGGCGCACACTGGCTGGAAAGAAAACCGATTCATAAAATGACTGTCAACGTATATTATCTGATGTAATTTATTTGCTATTTGTACATGTTATAAATTTGTCAATGCGATTATTAGCCGCCACTAAACTGGCAATGTTAATTCTTTCTTTTAAATCGATATAAGTATAGACCGATTTGGTTAGAATTAGCAAAGCTAAGGTCTACAACGTATGCAAAATAATTTACAAATGGCAAGTTCATTAGCGATGGAAACACCCTTTATTAAACAATTGGATTATAAGTACATTTTAAAGCATTTGAATGGAAGTTTCGAGCTGTTTTGATTTCAAATTAGTAAGTCATATAAGATCTAGTATGGACAGACTATTGTTTTTATTAGGCTGCGTGACTGTCCAGAAGCAAAATTAAGTTATGTCAAATTACAACAAGTAAGTTAAATGGAACAAGTCTAATCGAACATTTCGTTTTTTTGACAAAGTTATGGGCGGAGAGACAAGTTTTGAATACCGTGGACACTTTTCCAACCGTGAACATGGAATTAAAATTCCTAGTTAGGGGAGTAAGCACTTTCGGAAGCCTCCCTTACGAGAAACTCACAATCTACCATCTCTAATTTTGACACAAATCAACCAAATCGTTTCTATTTGAATTCGTGCCGTGTGATTTTAAAGAGTTGTAACTAGACTAATTGCTCACTATTTCACTCAAATACGCAGTAATCAATAAAGCTTTGGTGCATTCCAGTTTTTATTTTTCCCAAGAAGCTGCTAAACAGGCCCAAGTTTGATTTAAACTTATCATAAAGAGATTAAAATAAAATGAAGTAAAATGAGCAGTTTGGAATTTGGCTGTTCTGGGAGACTGCTTCAAGATGGAGACGGTGAAAAATTTATTTCGCCAAAATCTCTGGCTGGGGTGCTTGAAGTTTTTCGTAATATTCCGAATTGGAATGCGCATCATATATTCGAGTCTGAATAGTTGTTTAAATAATCGTCCAACAAACATTTAGTGATACTAATAATGTTAGAAACTTTTGAAATCCCTAATACACTTACCGGTATCCTACAAGTCATACTAATGAAAAGAGGATGAATGACTCGGTTGTTTGGTGGAAGTGGTCTAGCGTAAGTAATTTCTCGAATTTCAGCAGGTTCACGACAGCGACAGTGGAATTCATTGAGGTAGAGCCAGGTGCCACGCTGCTGTAGCTCAAAAGCCACTAAGTTGTTTTCCTTACAACATGGTCGAGTAAGTGGAGAATAGAGGTTATCACATGTATGTAGCTGGAATTCGTAGAGCCGAATATCTGTAAAAGATGGTATATTCTTAATGCAATGTTCAATTTTTATACTATAAACCGAGTTATTTAATTTCAATAATTTCATACCAAACTTCAGTTTTCTACAGGATCTGATGTATATGCGTTGTGTAACTATGATGACTCCAATCTATTATTTTGATGAAAAGGGGAGTTTAAAAATGAATTTGAATTGCTTTTGACTATTTAAAAGTTATCTATGATGGGAGGCATTTTTTGATTACATTAGGCTAATTTTACTAAAGCTATTGTTAGCCTTTGAATTGTTTATGTGAAATAATATGAATTAAAAAATGTTAAACAAAACAGTTTGAATACAATTGTACGAAATTTACCTTTCTTCTTGATTAAAATATTGATACGTTGATTGTAAAAGCTTACGCATATATATGTTATCTTTAATCATTTTACTCTTTCATAAATTAAAGAAGCTATAGGTTTATAATCTTTAGTATAAAAGGTGAAAAGGACATCACAATATTAATTTTATATAAAAGAGACATACAGACACAGAGGTTGGAAAAAAAGCACACCACATAGTATCGTTACGATCATTCTGTTATTTTAATTTTATTATAATTGAATCGACATAAAATCTACAACTGAAAACTTTGGCTCAACAATTAGAATGATGTAAGGCTCTCTAGTGTCATAACTGTAATCTCAAGAATACTTTAATCTTCGTTTTTTTCCTGACTAACTGTTAAGTGATTTAAGTTACCCAATATTAAGTAGACGTTGTAAATAATATCCTTACAGTTTATTATAATGATCCACTGTTATCATTGTGTACCTTTTACCAATAAAAGTTCTGAAAATGCTCTAGCCAAAATATGCTGGAATACTAAATGTTCTATCTTTTAGAGAAACTAAAATGAAAATTATCTCTATTAGAAAACTCCTACACTAGATTAAATTAAGTGGCCTTTTGAAATGATTTGGATAATCGAATAATTTTATGGACGAATTATCCTATTTCCCAAGCCTACAATAGAAGAGATTTAAATAAAATTTTTTTCTTCAGCCCACAAGCTAAATAATGCAACTCCTGTCAGGCACAAGGTCGAGGTGGTATATTCGTTCTAATATTAGTTAGCTTATCCTTCTGCCATGGGCAGGAATGTTGAGTGCTTCCCCCCAAAAGTTTAGCTGATCACTCTTGGTTTATATCAAGACGCTCTACTGGAATGACGAATTAAAATAATGAAATTTTTGGAACCTTAGCAGATGAAAAGATACATCTCAGATAAGTTTTTTAAAAAATATTATCATATAATTTAAGTAAATAACAGTTTATGAATTTAAGGTGCAATTTTAGTTAAATAAACGTCTGCTTTTTAACTGTAGTTCTTTCAGCACTTGTTGAAATGGAGGTATTTAGGAGGGATTGTAGCCTCTCTCACTTTTGAATCAGTATTTTCCTCTTGATAGTCTGTTTGCACAGATATGGTGATTAAAAAGTCCTCAGATCATGTTTTTCTTAATTTTACTTACTAGATTTGTTAGTAAATATTCAAATCTCGTTGCTACATTACATTAACCAATAAAGAATATTTTAAAATTTATAATGGAAATAAATATTGCAGTACTATCCACTTCTTGAACTTTTACCCACATTTTCGTTGTTGATGTACGTTTAGTTGAAGGAGACCGCAACAATAAAGCCACAGCATTTAAAAGCGATCTAAACGGAGGTTCCAACGCTATTTGGGACAGAATAAATCTCTTTGATGTTATAAACATAATTTATTAAGGTGTGGGGTGTTTTGGTCGAATAACCATTACTAGTACTTTTCAGGTGATTTATTGGGGGAATTGCATTGAATTCGATGTCAAAGTTAATTATGTCATCCCAGAAATTGACATTTTCAGTAGCAATAAAGCCATTGAAAAATGGGCGCTGTAAATACTTTTTTATGAATGCACCTAAAGAACAGTGCAAGACCATTACATTCCATGCATAAATAACAGCATATGGAATTAGCAACGCAATGAATGACACTTGATCAGATTCGTTTGAGTAGAAAAATGAATTTCTCAGAGAGCTTTTACCTACGAGAACTGGGAAGAGATTCCATAACAGATCATAGGTGAATTCATTTGTGATAATGTTCTGTTTTTGAAATTTGAAAAACACTCTCTCGTGTTGGCACCACAATATGGAGTCTTACCACTGCTAAATTAATAGCTAATGAGATAGTGTGTCTATTACACAGTCAATGAAATTATAAAATATATTGTTTCTTACTTATAAAAAAGAAAGGAATAATACACAGCTTTACCAGCATGTATTTATCTTTCTTCCTCCTGGTTTCAAGATACTTTTACCGCTGTAAAATTTGGTTGGCACCCAAGTTTGCCTAAGCTGCTGCATACCTTTCAATTATTATCGAAACAAAGCATAATATGATTAAGCAGAAGGGAAACGAAGACACAGTGTGTCGACAATCATAGGTTTTGGCAAACTATATTTTCTAGTCGTAATTGATCAGAAAATTGATTTTCGGGTAGCATTTTTTGGAAATAATGGCAGAGGAAAATAGGTGCAAATTTATTTCCCCAGAAGGGGTAGAAAACCTACCGTCAGTGCCGATCCACTTAAAAGTCACAGCTCGGGGATCATCGTAGTCTGCCCACACAGGACTGCAGGCGTTTGGGCCAGATCCCCATCGAGTTGAGTCATTATCTTCTCGTAGACTACCAGGTGAGTGGGACATTTGAGGAGAACAATGCATTCGGCTTTGAAGGAAGTCTCTGGGCTGATTATGGGGCATGAGAGTACTATTGTATATACCACCACGCTCTAGCCATGCACAGACTCGTATCCGTTGACCGCCAAGACGTCGAGTGAGACCGTCTAACGTGGCTGGCTTTCCAGATCGCCAGAACGAATGGGCTTTAGTCTGGGTAACAGGTACATGGGGAGTGATCAAACGTGGACGGAAGATTTGGGATGGAAGGGTGATTCGAGTGCAGGTTGCGTTCATGGGATCGTTGGGGATGCACACCTTAATCGAGAGTTGCAGTTAAAGTAAGCATGGCAAGCTGTTATTCGAAGTAAATGCAGATCAGAGAAGCTGTGGCTTATACCAGGAAAATAAGATAAGCACATTCATTCGATTACATTTAAGCTTTTTATTATGAATTGTTAATTCCCTTATATTTTAAGCAATATTCTATATACTTTAATCTTACAATCCAAAGAGTCAGGATAATTCTTATTTATCCAATTAGAACCAAGTTCCTCCCACTTTTTTAATGACATGAAATGTAAATTATTATGAAATATTTTACTTTCATGTTAGTGAATAGACTTTTGAAGCCATTCAACTTTGTTGAGGATATTTAAGTGCTCAATGTCATCCAAAGTTATTAATTTGATCATATACACAGGTAATTTGAAAAATACGCTTATTATCTTAACTAAATAGAAATTTATGGAAAATTAGGCATCTAATCATTTACCACCGTAAATTAACTTAGCGTACCTAGGGTACGTTCTGAAAGCCAAAGCAGTTGTTTAAATAAAATACTGATCAAATGGTTATTTGACGTTTGCTGAACGGCAAAAGTAGCATGCATTATTCGAATTAGAATAATTACCAATGACCTTGACAGTTTTCCATGTAATATTACAAAATACCATTCACAAGTCAAGATTGTAGAAGTTACTAATACGTACGGAAAAAATCGAAGAAACTGTGATTTGCTTCTATATAGCTTGAAAATGTACTTTAATAAAACAAAACCAGAGTATTTGCACTGCATCAATAGGAATTTTACCGGTGCTTAAAAATGGCCGATTTATCGATCGATCTATAAATACACATAATGTACAGTGTAAATAAGTTTGTTAACTGTTTTCTGCTAATAGAATGCTATTTTGACTCTGAAATGTACTAATTTTGCCTTGATCGTCAAATAATCACCGTATGATTTCCTCAAATGCTTAAAACGCTTTATAATTCAGAAAGTTAAAGAGTTCTCGATATTTATTTAAACTGTTTTACAGATTTAATTAAAATGAAAGTAAAAAGATGTGTCATATTCATCTGACTGAGCACATGTCCAGAGAGTGGCAATTCTCCCCGTTCAGCTAATATCAAACATAACTAAAACCGTTCTGAAGCTGGTATAGCAAACGAAAGCAGGTTTTACTCTCAAACATCGAGAGAAATATGAATTGGAACCGTTTTGACATTGATAAATTTAGGGAAACGACAGACAAAACTTGCTTCAGATGTTTAAATTTGAATTCGGAACATTGGCTACCCATTTGGTAACACTGAACAGTTCGAATTTTGCATTCAAATGAATAAAGACCTTTTGGTGCCTAAATTTCGCCTCTAACGTTTTTGTTGATCTCCCACTGGCTTATTTCATTGTGTCTTTTTACTAGATGGTATTTTTATGCTTGTGAGTTGTTATTGTAATGCTTCGATCAAAAAAACACGCCTGATTGAGATCTCTTTCAAAATTCTTTATTTGGCAATTAGATATAAAATAATATTTAAGTAAAATAATACTTTTCCACATTTGATGAATATGCGTATTTTGATTGCATTTTTTTCTAATATCAGTGTCACTGCTAAATTTTTATTTCAGGAAAACCCAGAGTTTCTTTAATTTTAACAGTGTGGAAATAATTATTCGTTAAAAATAGGAATTTATCGTAAACTTGCTAATGTTTGCATCAGCCATTAGAAAGTGGAAAAAGAATTTTGGCGACGAAAAAGGGGACTTTTATATCAAACTAATACATTATTGAGTGTAATATGATATAATGGGAAACCGCGTATTTTCGTTAACGGTTTAAGTCACAATTTGATAGACCTTGTCTTTTTGGCATAAAATGTATCATTACATCGGTTTTCATATATTTTGTGCGATATTGTTATCGTCTACTAAGCAGAATGGCTTCAAATTCAAACCGATTTCGTAAAATTCAACCGATTTGTTGAAACTTTCATTTAATAGGACATTAAATGAAAGCATTAATAGCATTTTAGTGCAAATAATGAGCATGGTGTCTTCTTTGATCAACAACATAATTTATGGCATATTTACCAGCTGACTCTAAAGCGTCACAATTCCACACCTTGGAACAACTGTCTAAACGCAGAATTCCGTAGAATCCCCTCCTAGCAATCTTTCGACTTTGTGGATAAGGCTATTGTAAGGCAGTTCTTGAAATGGAAATGAATCCCCAATAATATGCATTTCATGTCCAATTCTCCAACCGTGAAAAACATATTTCTGTCTGGTATGTTAAGAGGCTATCTAAATAAAAGTGCCGCAAAAATTAGACATAGTATGTCCAAATATCATCTGTTTTTACCAAAAGTACATTTAAATGATACTATTAATCTTGATTTATATTTTCCTGGAAACAAATTTTATATTTTCTAATGAGTATTTTGAGTAGTACATAAGTTTACTAGTTGTTCCTTTTCAAATTCCAACAATGATGGACCGAAAATGTTTTTTTCCATGGCTTCGTTTAACGGCGCATGCACATATTTTGTGCAGATGAAATAAAGTTAAAGTAGTGTGACCTGTGGCACCTGCAATTCTTGACAAACATGACAATGTCACTCTAAATGCATTTACTTCTTTCAGAGGAATGCCATTGTTTATTATTTTCAATCAAATACTGAACTGGAATTTATTTTAAAGACACAATGGGGAAGTAGTGCAGAAGCACTTTTGTAAAGTCAAGAATCATACTTTCTCGGCTATTTAATCAATAATTTCCCCTATTTTCGTCTATTTGAAAAATTAAATGTGAATCAACTGTAAGTTCTTGAAAAGTACATAGCTACTAAACAAAGGCAAGCTTTTAGTAAAACTTAGACTAACATGTTTACTAAAATATGTTTACTTCTTAGGCAACTCTTCCATTATTGAAATCAAATAACCAAGAGTGAAATGTAATTATTTGTAACCAAAAGCAAACATAACTCACAAAAATGACTGCACTTGTAAGTTTCACAAAAGTCAAGACAAGGAGGATATCATAGATTACATCCGTGCATTGGGGGACAATTTTCATTGGCTTGACAGTGAAGCCACCAACGACTTTTCCTTCTCTTCCTCTTTTTCATGCAGACGCCTATTGAAACGTCTGCTCAAAGAGTAGCAGCAAATGTGTATAAGACGATAAATGACAACTTTTTCCCTCACCTATTCAAGACACACCCTCCTGAACCACTCCCATGCGTGGTGTGACACTGGTAGAATTGTGTTGCCATTGGCAACCAATCACAGCCCTTCTTGGGTCCCACATCAATTCTATTGCCAATGAATGACTTTGGTTTAGCGTGACTGATTTCGTGCGCTTATTGGTTACAATATAGCGTCCCGCAAGTAATGCTGTCCTTAAAGCCATTTCAGGGATTCATAATATAAACGAATAATTTTCGCTATAATAACCATTTTGACATATTCAATCTGGTCCCCTTTTCCACTCATTGAATGCACAGGGTGAACTATAGCTGTCATTTTTTTCATTAAAAGTACAACAATTTATGAATGATGCAGATGAATCATCTCCTTTACATGGCTTATATTCGTGTGTCTCTAATATTGGAATTCATGAAGAAGAACGCCTCCAGTCTCTTTACCGGCAATAACATGGCCTTTAATTACCGTTGCGACTTGCTCGTTTTCCGAAAATTAGACGAAACGCAAACTTATCCGCATGACCAACAATTTAAATTTGATAGTTCAGGCTGTCTCACTAATTATAAAGCAATAAGTTGCTGTATATAGTGCAAGGTCATTCACATGTCCAACCATTGGAAGATGAAGTGAAGTGGCGGAAATAGCCATTCCAGATTAAAAAACGGCCACTAATCAAATGACATTTAATGCAAACTGTTACTGAAGTAAAGTGGACGAACTCTGAAAGTGGAACATTTTAAAATCAAATGCATCAAGAAGGTTCTCGCTTTCGTTTCCCTCTTCTTTACCATTGATTAGACTTTCTGACAACGCTAATACTTTCTTCCCATAATTAAAACTTTAATTTTTTGCCAAAAAACTGGAGCATAAATATCAACAATTATTATTAAAAGGAAGCTATAAAAGTTTCCGCTACCCTTGGTGCCTGCTGTAGTTATATGCACCGTTAATTGTTAGGAAAAATTTGACAAATTAGGCTGCTGAAAAATGGATTCCTTGAACTTGACATGACAATGAAATGAACAAGAAATGCCAAAATGCTTTGGTTGAATATAAAACGCTATTAATTGGGAAAAATTCCTTTTGTTCTTAACCACTTGATAAAGGAGTCTAGTTGTTTATTTATCTAATAAAATTCTCATATGTCGGTTATGGATAGAACTCATGTAGTCAAAAGTGAACTGTTAACTACTAATTTGCGTAGAAAAGAAAGCATTTAGGGACTGTAAAGACAACATATGTGACAATAAGGAATATATGTGCAGTATTGAATACCAAACGCAGGATATCTAAGTCGTTGCTCTCCGATTTTCCAAATTTTTGAACTAAAATGCAAAGTGCACAGCTGGGGGTGGTAGGGGTCCGAGATGATAAGTAGTGCGCCAGGATTAATTTAAAGAGAACTTTAAATACCACAACACCAAGATGGAGTCCGATAGAAAATTGAGGTGTGGCATTGCTCGCTCTAGAGTCATGCAAACGTTTTCCGCCTACTTTTCCCTCGGATTCCACAGTTAATTAAGTTCAAATACAGTCCAAAGATTGCACAAAGAATAAAGTGGGTGAAAACCATTTCAAAATTTTACCACCTTTTTATTATTTTATTGCTTTTTTGTAGGAAGCACATTCCTACATTCACTTTATCAATCAGATCACTGAAAGATATAGGGGAAAGTACATGAAACATGCAAAGGAAAGCTCGTTGATTTATGACAAAATACAGATACCTAATCTCACCTGTCCACAAAACTAAGAACTAAAGGTGATAAGGCAGGTAAAATTATTACACTCTCCATTATTAATCCAGGTGAGCACAAACTAAATATCATTAGGATACAAAATTTTTGTGGGTAAAAGCTAAAAAAGGCTTTAAGTTTTTTCCCGGCAAGTAAAGGAGAAAATAAAACTCGATTTATTTCAAAGAGAAGCATTCAATAACTATTTTTTAAGTTAAAAATGATTTTGATAGAATTAATCTAGCTAATTTATGAAAGGAGCGATGTTTTCACATATTGGAAGCAAAGTTTTGACGAACCATATCCTAGAATAGGGGTTTGTGATAGACTTACCTCCACGTGGTGCACCATGGGCAACGTTTGCTCATACGACAAAAGTCTATTAACTGGCAGTTGACTTCTCACTTTAAAATGCCATCACCCCACTGTAGGTCATATTCGACTACTTCCACAGTACTCGCCTCACCTTTTTCTACCTTTATGTCTGTCTCTTTTACATCTTTGAAACGCTCTTCTATTCCACCCCCCACTCTCGACTTTTTTTCACTCTGGTATTCCTTCCCCTCTGTGGAGCCTGAAGTCAACTAAATGGCTAATGATAACTATCAAAAACCGAAGTCAACTAAATGGCTAATGATAACTATCAAAACGCCTGTCATTTATTATAAATAAATAAATATCCTAGAATAAGGGAAAAATTTGTTTAGTTGTTTTTTTGCACTAATCCGTCTCCATTCTAATGCTACTAAGTTGACTCATTTTAATTCTATCGTAATATAACCTACGTGGGTATCTCAAATAAATAAATATAATGTTAAAATGAGAACAATCACCTGCTGAAACGCCTTCACGTATTTACTGATTGAGCGCAAATTAAAATTAACAAAGTACTGACTTCCATAATTCCAATGGAACCAGAAAGTAAATTTATTAATAAATGTAATTGGATTTATATATGAATATCCCATTTTGTCTACTAAATAAAAATAAATAGAATGTTTTAAACAGACTTCATTTTTAGGTTGGATTTAAAACTAAGGAAAACTCTTATAGCCGTAATGAGAAAGGAAAACTTAATTTATTTTTAACAAAATCATGAATTACTCTCCAATCCATATTCCGTCAATATTTTCACAATATATGGATAAATTCACCATTTGGAGATAAAATTTTGTGAAGTTCGTTAAAACGAATTCATATTAAGGAGATTAATTCAATCGAATTCTCGTAACTCGTCTAAAGAAAAAAACATTTTTGCACCACTTTTTTGAACATTCTTCGATTTTTTAAATAGCAAAAAATTAAAATTTGGGGATGGCCGTAGTTCCGGACATAGCCAAGTCCCTAAAAAACTCTTAAAATTTCAAGTAAATCGGTTGGGCAGAATCTGAGAAATCGTGGGTATCAGATTAAAAAACAGTTTTGAGAAAAACGCGTTTAAAGTTTCAAGTAAACTTTTCGCCGTCTAGGTCATAAAATTATGTTTTTAACTTACATATATTCAATCTGCCATTCCTGCTGCATGTATTGTACCTTCCTCGACTTCGAAAAGAACTATTTTCGGCGTCTCCGTTTTCTATTCGAACAGTTCTGGCCTCCTTTGATGCGCTGATCTCAGAGCGGTCAATCCGGGCGTTGTCTCGTCTGATAGCAAATGCATGCGCTTCTGGACCAATTCTCACTCACATAATCGTCATCATCTTCAATATCGACATAAAGCCTTCATTAAAAGTACACACAGCAATAAATGTTGCAATTTCAGTGATCTGAGACCCTGAATGGATATGCTTTGGAGCGAAAGTCCATATCAGTGAGTTTAGAGACTCATTGTTATTTTGAATTTCTGAACCCAAACATCGAATCAATAACTTTTCTGATGATAAACTTCGAAGGATTTGTCAACGAATGGACATGATGGAATGTAGCGTAGACTATTGCAACTGCATTGTAATGCAACTTTGAACCCGAGTCCGCGTTGAGCCGTTCTTGAAAATATAATCTCGTTGTTGTATGAAGTACACGAAATAAACGAAGAAATTGTTGAAAAGACCGTGAAAAACACCAAAACACAGTAGCCGTAATTATTATCTATAATTACTTCTTCATCATTTGATTTCCTCAATTTTGCTGCTAATGCACTCATAAAACTGGTGTTTTCCTGTTCCGTAAATCAGTTGCCGTGATTGCCGTGAAATATATATAGTTTGATAAATAGATAGATATAACGGAGCAAAAGGGCCTACTAAGAAATATGGATTCAGGTAGTCGGAGAACCCATTATGTCTTTTGTTCGATTAGTTGCAGCCCAACCGATTTGGATGCCTGCTCAGCAAAATGCTTATATCTCCGAAACTAATTTGAATTTTGGAAAATCCTTTCGTAGACATATTTTTGAATAGTTAAACTATGAAAATATGCAAAAAAACGAAATTCGAAATTTTTTCTAGACCAGAATACCCACTTAAGGATTTATTTATTTATATTAAATGACAGGCGTTTTGTTAGTTATCATTAGCCCTTTAGTTGACTTCAGGCTTCACAGAGGGAGAGGAACATCAAAGCGAAAAAGTCGAGAGGGGGGGGACAGAGTGTTTTAAAGATGTAAAAGAGACAGACACAAAGGTAGATGAAAGGTGAGGTGTGTAATGTGGAAGTGGTCGAATATGACATACAGTGGGATCATGATAGTTTAAACTCAAAAATCAACTGCCGATTTATAGACTTTTTTGCCGCATGAGTACACGTTGCCTAGGGTGCACCACGTGGAGGTAAGTCTATCATACACTCCATATCTTTAAGGATTGCATTGGCCTTAGGGGATAATATATACAAATTAAGGTCAGATTAATTCAAATTAATGTTTTCCAAAAAACAACTTCAAGCTCGCTTAATCTATCTATCACGAAAAAAAGGATTGAAAATTGAAAATTGTTCAATAAGACAAAATATAAATGTACCTCAATGAGTGGGAGAGATTTCAACTCCAATAACTAGCAAAACGCTTATGTTATCATGATTAAACTAATCTTATCAACCGAATGCTTTTGATACAAAAGTGCACACCCTTACATATTAGGACGGTATAAATGTGCATCGGTCCAAAAAACGCTAAAAGCACTAACTCTCCACAAAGGAATGTTTCCTTTACAATGAAGTACGTTATCTCATTAGCAGATGTTTCCATGCCCTAACGACCACGTCCTGGAAACGACAAATCCTACCAAGTAGAAGCGCGCACATCGAAAAGATTTTTTAACCACGAAAATAGGCAAGACCTAGTAGGGTGTATGCTACAATAGTGCGCGCTGATGGTTAGTTAATATTAACTTGATGCTTAGCTAAATAAGAGTTTGTCGTTCATCAATGCACCTGTGGTGAGCCGAATGGTTATTTTTATTGATTAAGATTGGGATATAACTCGATTTTCCCAATAGAGGGGCACACACAGCATAATTCAAGACGGGTGTTGATTAAGGTTTTCCTAAATTGGCTTGGGGATATTGCTGTTAAACCGCCGTGATAAAAAGAAGGTGCTGGTTCGCCAATCCGCTCATCTCACTAACCCTAAGATGCAGATTCTTACATTCTCCCATCCAAATCGGTAATGCGTATGTTCTATTCCTAAGGAAACAGCAAAATTTCAATTCGAGTAAGTGGTATCTCAGCCCGAACATTGAAATAAAAATAACTTAAAGTTGTAATATTAAGGAGGTTCCTATAGCCCATTTACAAAGCTATTCTTACGACAATACTGCTATTTCCTCCTAAAAGAATGAAAGGGACATAACGTGGAAGTTAACGTAAGTGACCTTTCATGTTTAGTCGCTGAAAAGAGGCTTCACTAGTACTAAACAGAAATCTGCGAAGAATACTACTCGGCAACGCCCCCAAAACATCTAGCTCAAACTGAAAAGAGGTCGAAGGACATTCCAAAGACTTTGAGAAGAAGGCAGATGTGGAACATGTTCTTGATAAAACGAAAACTTTGCAAATATGTAAAACATAAGAAGGAAGTACAATGGAGTCCCTCTATCTAAACTTTTCCTCTATCAGAACTAACCAATGTAGTCAACATTCACGTAATTGGATTATGTTTATGGAGGGAGTGGTACCATATGATTCGTTCATGCCAACGGCCCATTTTTTAAGCGAACTGTAATTTTTTCACAGAAGCTAACATTGTTCCACCTTTTCCCTAAAATTTTAAAATTAAAAGATGCAAAAGACAGGCTTTACACAGCTGCAATTTTACCACCGAAAGAAATAAACTGCGAGGAACAGAAATCACCACGTGCAAAAAAGATCACCTCTCAATTAATTGAAATAATTACGTTGAATTAATAGACAAATGATGATGCATTAATGGAAAGAAGAGCTGACGGTATCTTAGAAATTTGGAAGACTTTTAAATCTGTTCTGAACCCTTTAACGGCCTTAGGACCACACGATCCTTTTTCAAACTAAGCTCCAGTGGTATTAGACTTGTAACAGATGGTGCTATTGCCATTTGATACATGTTCAATACGTCTATATACCAAAACTCATCTCATCGACTGCAACAGTCAGCCCAATGCAGACATGTTTGCAACATGCGAATGCCGTTGGGTGTACTTTTCGAAAAAATTATGTGTGGATGGTATTAGGAGTGATGCCACAAGGATGTTGCGGTCCCTATGAACTGAAGCGACATCCGCAATCAATACTGCCTTTATGTCACAGCCTCGGGGTGGATCTGGTTGCATAGGGAGTAGCCAACTTGCCCCTGGTTTGTCATTGGAGAAGAGGTGCCGAAGACGTGAGGTGAACTTGGAAGAAATGACCAACCAGCATGCAGAAATTGTTGACTTTGATGAGGACATTGCGGAGTTAGTAGGTGACGTTGGTGGAGCGAAGTACACTTTTGAGCCGATTGTCTCTCTGGGTGGGCGTATACATTCGATGAAATTCACCTCTTGGAGAGCTTCTGAAGTGAGGACGAAATGGGGAGAATTTGGAGGATTCTGCAAATCGATATGAGGTTAACATGGAGGGATATTGGTTGGAGGGAAGACGTATGGGAAATATGTGCTTATATTGGTGAGTTTGAAATTGGCGATGACGATTAACCTTGGCATAAATGAGATTCATTTTGCATTCGTCTACTAGTGAGAGTTTACTAGCTGAATTGAAAGACCCTCTATCCTACTTCTCTCATGCTACGACAGATCAATGTATCTAATTGATGATAACGATGATGATGCATATGACGAATTGAAAAGAAGCGAGTTTTTGTGGTTGCCTAAATAAAGTGTGACACGATTTTTACATTCAGTCCTAATATGCTTTGTAGTAGGTGGAAGCAAAATATGGATAAGTTGATTTTTTGGGGGGATAAATTGTCGTGTGTATTATGTGGAGTCATGAATTGAAAAGAGTATTGTCTGATTCATAAATGATGAATGAGTCCATATAGTGACATGCGGAGTTCGTTGAGGAGAAGTCGATTGTAGTGAGGAATTGGTGATGCCACTTTGGATGATTCGCAATTGCTGAGAGGGAGGGGTAGAAGCGAGGAGCCTTGGCGTTTGTGCGGGAAGCGAGTGAAGAAGAGATGTGGTGACTGTTGTCATTAAAATCGAGCCTCCTTCTAGGAAATAGACAAACTGAGGACTAATGAGGTCGTTTTGGCGGAAAATCACTCTCCTTAACCATGAGAAAAGAGCTACGAATAATCCTCGCTTTGGCCTGACTCTTTTTTGGCAATTTCACATTTACGTGAAGGTTCCAACGACTGCTGATTTTTTGCTTATGTTTACAATGAAATGCAAAGGTGTCCGGTAAAGAAATGAAATACAGCAAAAGGTCACAGTTGAGCTATATGTCTGTAGTGGTGGAGCTGGACATATGGTTTATTTAATCAGTGTATAACTTATGAATTGTAAATGCGATATATTTACAGTGTCGGGTCAATTTGAAATCCTATTATTGCAGAGTAAATATCCTGGAAAGAAAGAATTAACTTACTTATGTCCCCACGAGAATGGCTGGGTTGGTTCATGGTCACATATTGTTAACATCGCATTCGGTTGGAATTGAGTGGCGGAAAGGAAAGTGGATGCCAAACAGAGGGAGTAGTAGGATGGACTAATTGCTTCATTGGTTACGTAGGCGATGAATTGGTGTCAATTAGCACTGTGTGAACTATGATTGTGGATATTGTCACTATTCCATTCCCACATTGCACTCATGAAGTAGAGTTGAGGAAGTGAAGCTGTCTAGTTGGTTGGTTGGTTTGTTGGTCAACTAGCTAATTCTGCCCAGAGCCCTCGTTCGCCGTCAGCCTCCTGGTCACCATCGCGGGTCTCTTGCCTGCTCCTGTTGGTAGGAGTGAATTGAGAAGGCGGTGTGAATGCAGGAGGCTGACGTTACCACCCAGGACCACGTGGAGGTGAGGGTTGGAGTTTCCTGGGTAGGGAGGCGCAGGCACTGCCCAGGTGAAGAAGTTGGGCACGCACTTGAAGCACGCTCGTGCCTGCTCGTACCTCCACCCCCCACACACAGCAAGCACCCTTTTGTTGCTGTGGTCTTATAGCCTCTGCACTCCTATGGCCATGATCCCCCACCCATGACACCCACGCCATGCGTGTGTCTTAGCTTATCCTGGAAGAGTGAGCTTAGAAGCCTCTATTCTCTTCTCCTGTAAGTCCCTCCTAGTGGGTACTAGTAGTACTAGCTGAGTATAGGCTACCGAAAGGCTACCTATGAGTGGAAGATTGGTGGAGGAATGGGAATAATTGTGGCAGCACGAAGAGTGTATGCTATTTGAGAGTGAAGCTGCTTAGGGGAAGGGGCTAGAGGAGCATAAGCATATAGCAGGAATATATATCTCTACTAATAACTAGAAAACATTGAAATGGAGATGAGGTAAAGGGAGGGAGACTAGTTAATCACACAATCCTAAAGCGCAAACTATGGGGAAGATATATATACGTGTGAATAAAATAGGTTACTAGAAGAGGGTGGAATATCTGGTAAATAAGCAGGAAAAGAGATGGTAAAATTGGATATGTTTGTATATAACAGTAAGATCCATGAGAATGCGTGAGTTACCTGAGGAAGAAATAAGCCAGAGTATGAATGGTTATTGTTGGGGTGTCCTTTGTGAGAGTTGGTCTCAATTGTGGGGATTTGAAATCCGATTCTCTTGTGTATGTTGGTGAAATTGAAGGAAAAGTAGGAGCTAGCATTGAAAGGTTAAAACTGGATAAGGAATAAATATGAAAAAAAGGATTTTTTGTCTTTTCTTTTTTTATAATTTTTGCGTAATTTTATATTTTTTTGTTTTCACATTTTGTTATTCATTTTCTGGATTGAAAGTAAGGAGGAGGAGACGGAGAGGAGGGCAGCCGAGAAGAGACCGAAAGATGAGATGAGATGAGCTGAGCTGTTGAAGGTCACTTGGGTTTGCACGTGCCTTTCCGTCGCAGACTTTTCTGCTTGGAAAGTGTGTCACCCTGCCCATTCTCTTTCCGCTCTTTCTTCAACTTACCTACCACCTCATCGTAACGAGGGAAAATTCTTAGAGACTTTTCGAACTCGTTTGTGCTTGTTCAAGCCTACTCTGTGAGATTCTGTACTCCTCCATGATGTCCTCGATAAAGGTTGGAGAGATTGCAGAAGTCTCCCCACAGAACTCTTCTAATGACATTAACTTCTCTCCTTGTATGTGGTCGCCGTCTCCGGAAGCCACATCTCTACCTTCTTCTCTATGGCAGTCATCTGGGTGTTCATATTCCTGTCCTCCTCCACCTCCACCTCCTCCTCTTCTTCTTCTTCTTCTTCTTCTTCCTCTATCGTGCTCAACTGGCCACCTCTAAACCTCTTAAATTACCTTTCTAACTTCTCTTGGTCTCTTCTCTCCCTCCTCCTCTGCTTCGCCTCTTCATACACCTCACAGAGCCTTTCGAGAATTAGGAATTCTCTCAGGCTAGAGGAGCACTCGCTATCCGCATCCTCATCTTCATTTTCATCTTCACCCTCTCTACTCGCAATATTCTCATCTTCCATCTTCCTCTCCTCTGCTTCCACATTCCTATTCTTCTCTGCCTCCGCCTCTGCCTGTGCAGCCTCCTCACACAGTCTTTCAAGAATGAGAAATTCCCGGTCGCACCCCCCTATCCTAGCGTGCATGCTTGAGAAGTCGCGTTAAGCGTTGACATGTCCTCACAAACCTAATAATGTTACTAATAAAATTAAGTAGAAATTAATAATATAGAACTTGAACATTTTTCAAATCGAGTTTATGTAATTAATGCAACACTTATTTCGACAGTTGAAAGAATAATTAGTACAATAAAAACCATGTCAAAAATGCAGGCATCATAATAAACACAATGGTAGCAGTAATACATAGAAATTTTCCAATAGACTTATGGATAGAAATAATCTTAATAAAATCTCTATAAATAAAGTAATAAATAGTTGGCATTTAACGAATGTAGTATAGCAATCAAAATGACTTCAATCAACACATTAAAATTTCGATTTATTGCCCAAAAACCTGGCATACAAAACCTCATCAACAAGGCAAAGAACAGTATATACTGACCCTATTAATAAAATACTAATTGACGACTTACCATGTAACTACTGGAATTGTTAAAAGTTGCTATTTGTAAAAATAAAAAAGAAGCTCTAAAGGCTAATCCACCCATCTTAGAGTTAATTCCACGTAAAATAGCAGAGGTGGTTGAAAAATATCACTCAAGCTTTATAGGCAATGGCGTATTCATTGAGTCTGCCCTTTATACATGCTTCAATATCAAAAAATGCATCCGGACTACTAAATGATATCATAAATACTAGAAATAAAAATGGGAAGCTCTTAAAATCTTTTATTCTAAAATATGAAAGAAGTCAGAGAAAGAAGAATAGGAAAAGAGAGGTTTATTGCAACCACTCTTAGATAAATAAAATAGGTGTAAAATTGTAAAGCCTAATATTAAAAATCTCAATAAGATATGAACGGAAAATATACGAATCAAAGTTGTGCCACTATTAGAAAACCAACGAACAGTATACCAATATGGGTAAAATTTTGCATATTAGAAGATCAATACGACAGTTGACGTCATGGTAGAATATAACCCATAAAGGCTTCACCCATTAGAAGTAAGTTCAAAATAAAGCCTACTTTTCAGACAAACTCCCAAGAGAAAGGAGAAAAAAATTTAAGTAGATTTTCGTACCTCAAATATGTCAATAGCGTAAACACTAAGTGTGAAATAAATCTTTGGATAAATTCATTACCAAAGAAAATCTGAGTCAATAATATCACACCAGTTAAAATTTGTATAACCATAAATATAGAAATCATAAATAATTTAGAGATTAACTTACAGGAAGATCAAGTAGTTTGAGACGTGTGGGACACGACATCGCATGCCTGCACGCCAGGATTGGGAGGT